CCACATGACCAGCTCCTGCCTCCCGGGGTTCCCATAGCAACGGGACATTGGTGTGCAACCCCGGGGGCTCTCGGCTGGTGTCGCCGCGCCGCGCAGGGGGCATCGCCCTCCCGCGGGACCCCGGGGCAAGAGCAGCACGAGGCAGGGGCAGCGCAGGGTGCCAGGCATGGGTGGGGAGGGGCATCACCCCGTGGAAACGAGCAGGTATTTTTCTCCAGTTTAAAACCAAAGAGAAGCTTTACTAGTCGGCGAGGGGCCTGGGTTGTATTACCCCGGTTTAAGCTGTAAGCAAAAGCAAGTGTCACTTCACGGGGATGAGCTGCAAGCAGGCTGCGGGGCTGCGACTCCCGCGAGCAGACAACAGAAGGGCAGGACAAAGGTGGAAGAGCTCGCACAGGAGCGGCCCAGCCTTCACACCTGGGGAAGGAGGAGTCTCGATAAGAAGGCCTCAGGTTGGTTATAAATAGGCCATGAAGTTAATTGACTCCCTTAGCTGCTGCCACTGCCATGACCTTGGGTTTAAACTTCGGGTGCAGCAGCAATGAAAGGGAGATGCAAATGCATTAGTACATCCCCATCCTGGATCCAGGGGAGGTGGGGGAAAGCCAGTCTGGAGCGTGAGCCAGGCACAGTGCCATCAGGGTGCCTCTTGAGAGGCGCACCCTTTCAACCAGCCCCTGATCTTACCCACTACAAGGGGAAATAAGGTGCCGAAGTTTATGAACAAGAGAAAAACACCTGTGTGAGTGACACTAACAAAAGACTGTTACTGAGAGCCTCAAAACCAGGAATACTCCTAGCCTTCAGAGGCAACCCCGATACAAGAGCAAATTGCCTCCATTCTGCTCTCCACACAAGATTTGACAAATACATCCATAGTGAAAGAAAATAATAAGATAACAGCCAGATGCAGTTTTTTCTCCTGCCCCTTTATTTTATTATTACAAGAGTGAAGGGAGAAAAAGCCACAAGTGGAAAGACAAACAGTTTGCTTCTCTTGCAGTATTGGCACGCAGAGGCTGACCTAGTCCAGATTATGCACAAAAAAGTTCCAGAAATGAAGACTGCTAAGAGAGCGCAAAATGTAGGATTATATGGTGTTTACAAGGGTATCAGTAGAGAATGCTCTGCTTTGGATGGGCATTGCTAGAGATATAGGAGTCTTGAATTGGAGAGCTTTTCAATTCTAATTCCAGCCTTGGGAACTGAATCCTGTAATGCTCAACCTTTCAGTATGGGGGGCTGGATGTGTGGTACAGGGCCACCCACTGGCAATATCAGGCCCCATGCACCAGGATTAGGCCTCACACTGCATCCACCCACCTTCAGATTGGGCTCTGCACCACCTTCCTTGGTTGTGATTAGGCCCCAGCGCCCCAAGCTACCACCCCCACTCATGCTGGGTTCAGGCCCCAGGACCTTTGCTACTCCTGCCCAGTTGGAATAGGGCCCCAGGTCCCAATACCAATGCGCAGGGGCAGCATGGGGCACTATCTAGGCTCTGAACTGGCCCTGGGCCATGCAGCCAACATGACTAATACTTCGAAGCTTTTATCCTGTTTTCATGTAGATGTAGGAAGTGCAGATTTACCCTGAAAAGCAGGTAAATAAAAAGTCACAACTTATTACTTAGGATATGTTCCCGTGTGTGTGTTCATAGTCAGAGATGCTTAGCTCAGTGACAACAATAACTTTTTATTGCTTTTACTTCTGTTAGCCCCGCTGTGCCAACTCAGCTAAGACTGAGCTAAGCTGAGAATTGTAGTCAGTCCTGAACATCAACTTTATTTAATAAATTCCAATCAGTAACATGTCTGCAAATCCCCTGATGAGAAGGAAGTAGCAAGATGTCATTGTGGTCTTAATATCATCTGCAGAACTGTTATTTGTGGCAATATGTAACATGGAAAATATCCAAGCTCAACTCACGGAGAGCTGATGGAATGTTCAGCCCTTGTAGTTAGAAAAATTCTTCACTCTTATTTATGAGCCAGACCAAACAGCACCCACAACTACAGCCCAGCCTAGACCATCGAGTGAAACAAATAAACAGGTAAGAGATAGGGGCCAGGGTAATGCTGAGACTAGGGGGTCAGTACATGCACCTACAGGAGGCCTCAAATGCCTCTACACAAATGCTCGTAGTATGGGTAACAAGCAGGAGGAACTCACCCTCCTGCTGGCTGACACTAGCCCGGACATAGTGGGGATTACGGAAACGTGGTGGGACTCATCACATGGTTGGGCGGTGAATGTCACGGGCTATAGGCTGTACAGGAGGGACAGGATAGGAAAGAGAGGTGGGGGTGTGGCACTCTATATTAAGGAGGAATACACATCCTCGTC